TACATGTTTTCATGCTGCCTTAGAGCTACCACTGGAATTTACACACATAAAATCAAGTTACAGGCCATGATCAATTTCTTGCATTAATCCAGACTCTGGGTTTTGTAAATGTAATAAATTATAATTTGCCTTCTAACGTTCTGGGCAACGGCTGCTGGGTTTGCATGTTTCCAACTGACAATGTGGGAAACATATTAATTTCTTCGAAATCTCCCTAACTTCAATTCCTCCAGATAAGGGGCCAAATTGGTTGATTGGTCAGTTGCTGACAAACCCCATAGATTGATTGACAGATGGCATCAAGTCAATACTTCTGCCCTTCACTTTTGACGTCCGTCATGGCGCCTCGTTTGACGTAGTTGCAAAAGGTCACTACAATTGTGAACTAGAAAGAAAATTATATATGACTCAAAACGTGTTGTACAAAACAGCTGGAGCTCAGTCAGATTAGATGCAGAGCATTTGTGAACACCAGTTTTCAGAACTTGCCACAATTCTCGATTGGGATTAGGTCTGGACTTTGGCTATGCCATTCTAACAAATTAATATGTTTTGTTTTAAACCATTCCATTGTAGCCCTGGAGGGAAAGCAAACAGAAAAAACTTAAGCTGCTAAGTACAAAATTACAAACATGGTCTGACCTGCTGCACGGTTTCTCCGTTTTAGTGTTGAGGTTGAAGGCTTTTTCAAAGTTATACAGACTGACTACTTCCTGGTTCAGCAGCTCCAGCTGAATGCAGCCATCAAATCCAGTTGAATTGTTAAATGGGGCGGGAAGCTGAAAGAAAGAAAATAAGAACAAATGTATTAATTTCTGTAAAACACACAATAAGCACTGTACATAAAGAACATCAAGTTTATTTGTGCAAACAATTTTTTTATGCTTACAAAATAAAATTGCAGCTTTTTCTTGGTAATATTTGATTTTCAGATGTCTTACATTTGGAAGGTTTATAATATTAATGCTGCTAGTAGGGCTGCTCAATATGGCATAAAAGTTAAACTTTGACCTTCCGTGACCTCTGGAAACATGTATTAATATCTTTAAATTGACAGTGGCACAAACAAAAACTTTTGCTGTACAAATATTTGACTTCAACTTTGTTAGTTTTGAAGAAAACTGGGCGGTGACTTTACTCAGGACTTTCAGCGCCGTGTTGCAGCGTTCCTTTCTTTTGTAATAGTGAGTTTAACCTGACAATGGCGCCACTTGGCCCGACTTTGCTCACCTGGAAAGAATCTGGGGGTCCACCAACATAGAAGACTGTGTCGTTGGTTTGGAGGTTGAGCAGTCCTTTATCACCTTTACCCTCCCCTTTGGCCTTGAAGATCTTTTCATCTCCTTTCACGAAATAAGACATGGACATTTGACCGTACTGGAGAATCCTACATTAAAACAGACAAGGCAGTTACAAGCATTAACTAAATACATGCTCCCTAAGCGTCGAAGTCTGAAAAGCTAAGCACCTTTTTAACATAGGATAAATTAAACTTACGATGTTTTCGAGTTGTTTTTCTGATTGATGTTTCTCTATAACTGTATAATGTTTTTATGGTGTGATTATATGATTCTGATGGCTACATTTGACAAAAGATTATGTGTATTACAATAAATTTTGATGGACAATAAATTGTCCTGCAAATGATTGTGATAAACTATAATATTGTCATTTTGACAATTTTCTACTACAATGATAACGGCATATTAATCCAAGTACATTCTTTCCAACTTTACTTTCTAAAGAACATTTAGCACTGGAACTGGAAAACATTTTAAATATCCAAACTAAATAAATAAAACAACCAAAACAACAATTAAAATGGATTATAGTTTTATAGCCAAAAAATATTTAAAAAAAAAATCTTTCATTCAGCTTTGACAGGGAAAACAGGCAAAAGTGGCTGGTAGAGCAAACTTCCTACCACCGTCAAATTTTTGCAGCATTTTTCAAAATGTCGGTTTTTGAACAATTTTAAAGGGTAGAATCTCTTCGGTAATTGTCCACAAGTAAATTATCAATCTCATTTTAATTTATCACATCATTAACTGGTAACTTATTGCTGAAATGTGCTATATAAATAAACTGGGGCTCTTTCTCTGACAAAAAAACTTTTTGAAATTTGTCAAGTTTTGTTTGCTTTGATAGTTTCAAACTCATTTCTAACTATCAAATGACTTTTTGTCATTTGATAGAAATCCAAGGGGAAAAAAGAATCACATATGAGGTTCCTCAGGGCTCCATTCCCAGTAAATATATATTCATTAACTACATGCTTACAGTTTCTGAAAAATAACGACTCAGTGGTGTGATAAGCTTTTGTGCATGTTTGTTGCCATAAAGTATTTCAGAACATCAAAGCAATTTAAATATTAGTCAAGGTCAACACAAGTAAACACAAAATGTAGTTTTTCCTCCGTATAACGGAGGAAAAATTTAAACCTGTATGGCCCTGTGTGGTTATCCGATTAATCGATTACTAAAGTAGTTGGTAGTTGCAGCCTGACTATAAATCATTGTTAGAAAGGGTTAAAACTCTTACCTTTCCAAATCAACTCTGTTGAATGTTCCATCAGTTTTGGCATCCTGAGACGATATCACCTTTATAGTTTCTTCTCCAACATTGAAATACCAGCTTAGCTTCTTCCCTTCCAACACCATGCCCAAAAACTCCTTATTGGACTACAAATACAGCAGACATGATTATAAAAATAACATACATTTGTCCCTCCCAGTCATAAAATGTCCCTCTGAGTTGCTGTTGTAGGACATACATTTTTATTGCCGAAGAAGAAGACAAACTGTGTGTTTGAATCAGCGGTGGAACGTTTTCTCTGCTTTGGCTGAGATGGGCTGATGTGCAGCTTCATGGAGGTGTATGCAGCCAGGTCCGCCAGGTTAGAAGGAGTACGCACCTGAACGGCCGACTTCCCGTTAAACTTCATGGACACGCTCACCTGGAGGGGAAACAGCCGGTTACCTTTGGAATCAAGTCCCGACTTTGAAGGAACGTGTAGATACTTTGAGTTTTGGACAGAAAAGTATGCACCTTGTTGACAGTGTTGCGCGCCTCCTGAATGAGCTGCCTGATCCGGTTGATGTTCTCAGAAATGTTTGGCATTTGGACGGAATAATTCTGCAAATCGTCAAGTTTCTTCAGCAACGTTGGGATGTGTTCTTCCAGCTTTTGAACTAAGAATGAAAAAACATTATTTGAGGTAATGTAAGTTTCAGAGATATTTGTTCAATAAAATTAAAACTAGAAGTAGTTGATTGTTAAACTCCTCTTGTTTGCTTAAAACGATTAATTGGATTAATAAAATACATTAGATGCTGCAAGTATTTAGCTGCAGATGCATCCTTACATTCACTGAAGGAATGTTGTCGCCATTTAGGCAATAAAATGTTTATTTTCTTATTTAAAATAAGAATTGTAATCATTTCTTTTTTCATATTTCAATTTATTTGTAAGTGAAGTTGTTAACTGGATTGTTTTTTTTAATCAGATTGTTTAATTTTCAGAATAGAATTTATTTTGTAATCAATAGATTAATCGATTACAAACATAATGGTTAGTTGCAGCCTTAGTTTTGTTTCCTTACTCAATCATTTGATTACTGACAGGTTATTTATTGATTCTGTAACTGACTAGGGGCTAGGGTACAATAATTCAATTGTAATTGAAGCCTAAATCAATGTGAGATTTTAAGAATACATTTTTATAATAAATGCATCCCTTTCATTTTTATTAAATATTCAATAATGGGTCATCAATTGAGTAAAACAATTTATTATTAATTTCTTACTTAACATTTCTTTTTTTAGAACTACCATTCTGTTTTTACTGTTTCTGGAAACTGGTAAAAAAAAACAAAAAAACAAAAAAAACATCTTACTGAAAAGGAAAATTGATGCAAAAATACTACTGGTAATTTTAGTGTTATTCTGTTGTGATAATCTAATGTTATTATGCAATAAAAAATAGTAAAACTGCTAGGGCCTGTTTTGTTTATTATATCTACCTTCAAAAGTATTAGTTGGTTCTTTATCATTTCTAGGCATAATTATTAAAAGTAATGTGGACGATTTGAAGAGCAATTTGCAGCTCCTTATACCATTCCAGATTTATGTAAAGGGCAAAAAAATTACTAAAACCAAGTACTAAAATAATTTTTGCAGTATTCCCACCCGTTTCGCTGGCGTTGATCAGGGCCTTGTTGATGTCATTGCTCGTGGAGTTGGTGTCACCGTAAGCTTGTTGCCATTGGTCCAGTTGCTTTTTAATGGGGAGCAACATGTTGTTGACGTCAGTGGCTGTGCTGTTTGCTTTATTCGCCACAGTTTTTGCTTCATTGATCTCCTGAGTCACATCTGCAAATTAAAAAAAAAAAAACAGAACAAAAAAAGCAAATGAGCAACGTTATTAGGCCTAGAATTAACGCTCTGCAAAAAACATGTACAGAGCAATTTGATACTGAAATATTACATTAATTGGTGATCATGTAAAGTTTAAAAACAATGTTTAAAAAATCTATAATATGCAAATTAATGAGATAATTTATACATTAAGTGAAGATTGTTACTGTTGCTTTTTAATTTATCTCAGATATTGTTCAGGTGGTTGGTTGGTATTTCTGTGTTTTGATTTTGTTCATGTGTTTTAAGGTATTTTGTGATGTATTTTTGTAATGATTGAAAAAGTATGTACGTGTGATTTCATTGTAATATTTGCGGTGCGGACCCCAGGAAGAATAGTCTAAGCCAGCGTGTCCAAACTTTTTGTCTTGTGGGCCAAAATTGTGAAGTAAAAAATAAAAAATAAAAAATTGAGAGCCAGTAAAATGTAATATTTTTAATAAAAACTAATATGGTAATGCTATTTTTACCAACATGATAATGTAATAGTTTAAACAAATTAAGTAGTAAGATTTTTTTTTGTTTGTCTTTTTGTTTTTAAACTTGAAAACTATTGTAGAGCCAAAACTTAAGGTTTTTCAAAATAAAATTGCATGGTAGAAACAATTAATTGGTTTAACTGTGATAATCAATTATTGAAATAATTGTCAACTAATTTAGTAATCGATTAATTGTTAACTGGAAGTCTATTTGCTGAAAGAACACACTAAGAGCAGTAATTAAGCCAAAACTGAACCAAAAATATATCCTATTAAGCACATTTTGCTATCAAATTATTAATTGGTTAATCCAATAAATAATCAATAAATAGTTATTTTTCACATCAAACATTCTAAGAGTAACCTGAAGAGCCCATTTGATTCATATTTAACCTGGTGTTGCATCATTCTGTCACAGAGCTTTTCCAATGCATGAAGCTTGATTTAATCTTTGTAATTCCAGAAATGTTTTAAAATGTTTTAAGTGCTTACTTGAAGTGGAGTTTAGGCTTTTCTGAATTTCTGCCAAATCCTTCACGGCTTGATCATGTTTGGCCTTGGCTGTGTTCAGCCGTTTCTGAGCTTCTTCCAGCTCTCTCTTCAGGGCTGTCAGACAGAAAAATCAAGTTCACCACTTCAGATTCTGAAAACTGGGTCATAATTTATAGCAGAAGATGAAAATGTATTTAATTTTGATTCAGAAACACTGTATTTACTGTTGTTGAGTTCATCGTTCATCTGTTGGACTTCTCCATGCAGTTCCATGCTGTGGTTCTTCAGAGCGCTTGCTGACTGGCCAAGATCCTGGTTCTTTATATTCTAAAAGTATTTAAAGCAAAACTAGATATTTACATACTTTTAAAAAGAACCCATGTATCTTTTTAACAGGCTTTTTAATAGGTGCATGTGTGTGTACTTGTTATGCTGCATTTCTAGGACCATTATGGTATATTCAATCACCATCAGAGGACTGATTGGTCTTATGGGGACCAATGTTGGGTCCTACTTGAGAAGACCCTGATTTTCAGAGTTTACTCAAAAAAAGGCTCCATCTGGATCAACCATCTGTGCTGCACGTAGCCATATGTGTATCAGTCTAGAATTGCAGTTGGGGGTCAAACAAAATAAGACCAAGGGCCGCAAATCGCCCCCAGGCCGCACTTTGGAAACCCTGGGTTAGTCATACGGTGTGAAAAATGTTTAGGTGCAGTTATGGTTAGGTGTAAATTTAGTTACTAAAATGAATGAAAGTTCATTCCCAATATGGAAGTCCTAATATGGAAAGAAATACAAGTGTGTGTGTGTGTCTACTTGTCTTGCTGTATTTTTAGGACCTTTTGGGTATATTTACTCACCATCTGAGGACTGATGGGTCTTATGAAGACCAAAGTCGAGTAAGAGTAAAAAAATAATATTTGGTAAAAAGGCTACTTAAGTACTGAGTAACTGGTAATAAAATCTGATTTTTAAAATGACCTCATTGGGGAAAAAAAGTGCTAATCCTGGTATTTTAAAGGCTATAATGAAAGACTATACACAAACATATTTACAAAATAACAAATTAATGCAGACGAATATTTCAAAATCTATTTTTTTCCAATACAAAACTTGGTAATATATCTATGTCAAAGTACTTCCAGAGTTTACTGTATCTTTGAACCTCAAAATGGCACAACAAGCGCAGCAGATGGAAAATATCATTAAAACAGCAAAGCTTGTGTACTAGCAAGAATTCTCAATTTAGCTGAAACTGTTGGTTTCTGTGTCTTGTATTTTTAGTTAAAATGTGTTTGTTCTTCATTCAGTGAAATGGATAGCCAAAAGTGTTACTCAAGAGTAGCAATATTTCAGGTGAAAGTGTAGGTATGATGTAGTAAAACTACTTTAAAAAAGTTACTACACGCTTCTGGTTAGATGTATGGTGTAAATTATGTTTTATTTTAGGGTTAGGCATAAATTTAGTTACTAAAATGAAGTTGAAACAAAGTGCTAACATGGAGAAAAATGCAAATGCGCGCACGCGTGTGTACCTCTAGAGTGTCATTTGCAGCCTTCTCAGCCATTTTTGCAGCATGTTCTGCTGCAGTGATGCTATTGACAACATTGTTGTAGGCTTTTGTTAAATCCACAGACGGATCCTTCTTGGTCTCTGCAATCAAACTGTAGGAGCAACACATCACAGATTAACGTTGTTTTATTGGAACCATTTATCAATTCTCTGTCTAACAGGGAAGTTTTAGCTGGATACACAGAAGATCCCTACCTGGTCAAGTTCATAGCTAAGGCATTAAGCAGCTCAGCGTGTTTCTCTGCCTCCTCCACAAGGGGGATTAAGGTGTTGGTTGCAGCAAATGTTTGCACCTTCTTTTTCAAAGGTGAATTGGCGCCATCTAGCTGTGCCGCCAGATGTTCGTATTCCTGACAGATACATTTTAGAGGGATAAATTCAGGGTCTGCTCCAGGTATTCAAAACCACTCACGAACAAGCAGTTTGGAACCAAGAACAATCGATCCAATGTTAAGGTTGTAGAACAATGAGGTTTCCAGCTGGTTATTTGTTAGAAAAAAATACTCTCAACTTACAAACTTACTCAAGTTTAAATAATGGAATAAATGACTCTCTAAAGTGGTTAGTTCTTCATCTGTCCTTGGATGGAAACGTAAGTTATTTTCACACTTGATAGTCTGGTATACTCGGTTCGACTGGGGACCAAAGTTGCAACATTTGTTCCACTGCAGAGTCAAACCAACCAAACTAATCAAAAAACCTGTTCAACTCCTCACCTGTAGGGGCGCTGCATTAAAAACCACTGAAGGAAATGACATGAAAACCTCTGAAGAAGACACTGAGCACAACTTTTTACTTCAAAAAAGTAAACAAAAATGGAGTAGTGGGTTGCTTCTCTTTTGTCTTTGGTTAAAGACCACAAGTCATATCTCCTGCTAGCGCTAGGCTAACATGTTTGCTTTGGTTGCATTTACCCAGGGCAGCATGCATTATAGTCCACTAACTGCTTTTGGAGTGATCTCTGGTCCGCTTGGTGTTTGCATAACTCACACCAAGCGGTGTGAGTTCAACTAAACTGAGACCGAGGTTTACCAGACTTCACTTCTTTGGTCCGGTTACACGTCCGCAACTTCCCAAATTAACCGGACTTTCTAGGCAGTATCCAGTTTAGCTTAGTGACACAGATTGGATATTTTTGGGGGCAATTCTGAAATTCTCAGAACCACTTTTAAAATACTAGCTGTGCACAACTGCAATATATCTAAAATGAAATGAATGTAAACATTTTCAGAGTTGGAAAACCTGATAGTTTTTATAGCACTGAACATAATATTCCTGAATCTTGACTACAAATAGCCAATTATATGAAGCTCCCTGTTAGAGTGCATCAAACTACAAGCTCGTTAAATATTTATGTATTTTGACTTCTTCTTACCTCTTTGGACTCCTGCAGCATCTGAACCGCAGTGTTGACTTGAGTGACATCAGCAACAGCCATTTCTAGGGTGTCGTTCACTTCCTTCTGCTTCATTAACAAGTCTTCGATCTTCCTCTGAGGGAAACAGAGACAGCGGACATCAGATGCACTCACTCACACTCACACACAGTCTTTGTTTTATCAGATTTCTCACGTTGATTTCCTCCAGAGTTTTCTCATTGACGCTGTTGAGTTCTGCGGCTCTGGCAGTGTTGTTCACAGCTTCGTTCAGAGCGTCTCGCAGGTTTATCATTTCAGAGGTGAAGCGGTGCAAACGGTCCCTGATGGCCTTTGTCAAGTTAACGTTTTCCTGCTGATGGTTTGCCAGCTCCTTGATAACACGATCCAATACTAACACATACATACAGAGGGATTTACTGGACATTCTGTGATAATTTTCACAATATTTTAGCTCAAAATGATCAGCTGAAACGATTAATTGAGTTAATTGCAATTAATCGATTCTTGAAAAAATTGCCAACTATTTTAGTAATATATTAATCGTTACCTGGAGCATACAGACTCTAAAAAAGGAAATTTACTACAAAAAACAGCACATTCAGAGCAGTAATTAAACTACTATAATATTAAACTATATTACACATTTTGGATTTAATATAAAAACAGCTACATCCTGTAAAAATGTTTTCCCCAAAACTTCTCAAATGAAAAAAAATTATAAGTTACTGAATTTCAGGCAATAACTTATTTAAAAAAAGGATTTGAATTATTTGTTTGAATCTTTTCATGTATTTTTAATAACTTAGTGGTTAAATGAAAAATATGTAGAATGTGCCAATTTTTCTAATTTGAATAATCACCAAAATAATTGATAGAAAAATTAGTTGCAGCCTTAGTAACAGTCTTAGTAACTGTGGATAGGGGCTCAGATGATAAACTTACATTTCTCTGTTTCATTTTTCTCCTTGTCTGCCAGTTTCTTCTGACCCACGCAGCTCCTGTACCTCATCTCCCTCAGTATGGCCTGAACCTCCCTGATCTTCGCCTCCTGCCCCTCCACATCCTGATCGCCCTCCGTTTCGTTTCGGGACAGGTTCGCCAAGCGCAGCGTCGCTGCAGACAGAAGCAGACGATCGTCAAACAGTCCGGTGCCGTCTGCGGCCGTGTTTGGGGATAAACAGGCGTTTCTCTCACCGTTTATGTCCATGCTGATGTTGTTAATGAATCTCAGCAGATCTTCTGCCCTGCTGTGGGTGTGGGAGGTGCTGTCATCTAGCAGACCGACCCGGCCTGTCATTACTCCTGACTGAAAACACCACAGAATGTTACGACTGCGAATTAGGGCCATTGTAGATAGAAAGAAACAAATAAATAAAGAGTAAATTTCTGCTAAAAAAAGTTTGCAGCCAAAATTTTTAGATTAATCTTACTTTATTATCTAAAGGAAAGCGAAATGTGGAGCTGTTTATTCTCAGAAACTTACAATAAAAATACGAAAACAACTTAAACTTAAAATGTTTTAATTTGCCAAATCATCAAGACTATAATTTAAGCAATATTAACTGAACATGAGGCTTGAATGTGTGTGTTTCTGACCTTTCTGTGCAAATCATCAATGTCAGCTTTGATGGTCGCAATGTCCATGTCCAGCATGTCGGCCCGACTCCTGCTTTCGTCCAGCGTGTTGTTGTAGCTCTCGATGGCGAGCTGGAATCCAGACATTTAAATTAAACACCAAAAACACACAGCCAAACCTGTTGATTTGGTGAAGATGTGTTCATCTCGCACTGAGCATGTTGCCAACCTTTAATTGGGAACCTTATTAGAGAGCCCACCTTTATGAACTGATTTAAAAATCAGCAACATTAAAAAAAAAAACTAATGCGCTACCATGCTTAGCTGCAGGTTTCATAAGACAAGGGCTGCAAAGAGTTGACTTACGATAAATTATCGATTAGATTAAAATTAGTTACAATCGATCAACTAATAACGCCTGCTTAGACTGTCTTTTAGTGTTGTAGTTTGGTCTCCATCCAGCAGAGGGCACTGCTGGTCATCCTTAAACTGAGTTAGATTATAACAGGATTAAAGATGGCGGCCATACCACAATGGGAAAGAGAAACGACCCAAAAAGAGTCCGGTGTGGGATGAAAAATGCACGGCATGTAGTTTTGTTTTGAAACATAAACACTCAACAAGCTCCTTAAATTATCATCTTAATAGCGCTGCATGATGGAGCAGCGTCAACTTCTCAACCAAAACTTACTGATCTGCTACAAAGACAAGGATGTGATGATGACAGAAAAGCAAAGACGATAAAACAAAAAAATTGCCAATAAGTAAGTTGATTTTGAGGGATTTCTAAGTTTAACAATGTGAGAAAAATAATTTTTTCTGTTTATTCAGTGACAATAAAAGCCATAAAACAATTTCCTCAAAGTCTGGAGACATTTTACCCAGGATGCATGTTTGGTCTGGTAGCAATATCTGATTCAACTTCTTAGATTTAGTATCTTCATTCAGTTCATCATCGTGTTTCACACCAAACACACGTTCCAGCTCTTTGAAGCGAATGTTTGGCTTGTGCGTTTCGACTCACAGCGACGTCCTGTATGGACTTGTTGAGGCTGACGAGCTGAGCCCAGGCCATCGAGCTGGTGTTGAGGTTCCTCAGCTGCTGCGACACGGAGCTGAAGTCGCCGTCCAATCTCTCCAGATCTTCCAGCAGCACGATGACGCAGCTGTCACACACTGAGTGCCCAAACACACACGCCCACAGGACGCGCTCCGTCAGCGATTAACCCTCCGGTTTCCATCCTCGGTCCGCAGGTATGTGTGATTTACTCACCTTCACAGTGCACGCCGTGCCGGTCCTCCACAGGGACGCTGTACCTTTCCAAGCAGGCGTCACACTGCCTGCCCGTCATCCCGTTTGGACAGCGGCACTCACCGGTCCGGGGGTCACAGCGGCCTCCGTTACAGTCACACCCTAGAATGACCCACAGATCAGTTCAATCAACCAATCAAATTTAAACACATTTCAGCAACAACACAGTTAAAAGTGCTTTATATCATAAACAACACAAAAATCAACAACTGAAGCATTACATTGTGTTGTCATTAAAATGTTGGTCAGTGTTTCATTTATGACGTTTCAAAAGCAGCTCTAAGCAGGTGCTGCTTGTCTAGATTTAGAGTTTCAACTGTTTGTGGTGCATAGAAGCTGAATGCTGCTTCTCCATGTTTGGTTCTGGATGCAGAGCAAACCAGAACCAGAAGCTTAATAGCACAATAATTCCATCCAAGCAGCCTTGGACCTAGCATAGATATGACAATGTTTGTGATAAAGTGGAATAAAATGGCCAAAAAGCCAAAACACTCCAATCAAGGAGTCAGTCAGCTGCTGCAACTAAAGCAGAAACAGTGACATGTGACGGTAACGTCAGCCCAGGTGGCACACTCACTCTTGCAGCCGTCCGGTCCGTAGTCCCAGTGTCCGGGAGCGCACTGCCTGCAGTTCGGTCCGTTGACTCCAGGCTGGCAGGCGCACTGACCGCTCTGAGGGTTACACGGCTGGATGAGCGCCGCCGAGGCCTCGCACTCACACTGACGACAGCCGGAGCACGAGTTGAAGCCGAACGACCCGTCCTTAGAACACCAACACAACCAGATGAAGGCGGGATGGAAAGTTACGCAAACGTTTTCCTTGTTCATCAGTTTTCTGAACAAGGAACACAACAAAAAACGTCTTACCAGATAATTTTGTCTAATTTCTTGTGCAAACATGTTATCACACTTGAAATGAGACAAAACTAATTATGAACTTGTTTTAAGTCAATAATTCTCAAATACTGAATAAAAATCCTAGTTCCACTGGCAGATTATTTTCCCTTATAACAAGACATTTCTCACATTATCAGTGAAAGAATCTGTCAGTGGACTTAGTACTTTTACTTGATCAATATCCAAGAATTATTGATTTAAAACAAGCTCCTATATTTTACTGAAAAGTCACCTCTAAGCTAGTTTTGTCTTATAATGTACTTAGACATTTGCACAAGAAATGAGACAAAAATACTTGGTAAGATGTGTTTTTGCAGTGCAGAGGCAAACAATGGGCGCTGATAGAAAGTGATATTGTGTTTAAACACCATCACTTAGAAGATGGTTCCCATTTTTTCCTTGATCAGAGCAAAGTAACCCAACTTAGTGAGCAAACAGAAACAGAAAGTGTTAAAATTCATAGACTACACTGTAAAATCCACAGAAAATGGTCAGAATCTTAAAACTGGATCCTACCTGGCAGCGGTCACAGAGCGGTCCGGTGACTCCGGGTTTACAGCGACACTGTCCCGTGTGTGGGTTGCAGGATTCGGTTCCACATGGAGAACAGTTGCATTCTGCATCACAAAAGGAGTCATTTTCTTTTAACTGTGTAATTTTTTGTGCTGTACTTTTTGCTGCCTCTTGGCCAAAACTCATATAGGTTGATAGGAAACAGACGTAAGAGTCCAGCGTGCTTCGTCTATTGAAGGCCATGAGCAGTGATAGAAAATTACACCAACTGGTGGGGAATTCCCCACACACATTATATGACAAACTTTAATATGAAAATGCCAGTTTGGCATGAAAGGTTTTTTGTTTTAGAGATTTCTGCTATTGTTGGCCTGGTTAAAGCAGACAGATGCCGAGTCCTCTGTGATGTAATTCCTTTTGTAATTTGCTTCGCTCAGCTCTTGACATATTGGCGCCCAGCGTGGGGCTCGAACATGCGACCCTGAGATTAAAAGACTCATGCTCTACTGATTAAGCTAGCCTATCTGCAGGCCTGAGTAAAGCAGGAAGGTACTGAGTCCTTTCTGCTTTATTTACAAAAATAATAAATCACAAATTCTGTGATCTTCCACACCCAACTCTCAACAAATTGGCGCCCAACGTGGAGCTCAACATGCGACCCAGAGATTGAAATATTCACGCCTACCAACTGAGCTAGCCTTTAAAACAGACAGATACTGAGTCCTGCATGATGATTTGTTTCCAGAGAAAAGTAAGTTCTTTGGATTATATGTTAGCCTGAAGCTGAACTCACTGGTGCAGTTTTTGGCGTGTATTGCATCTCCATGGTAACCAGGAGCGCAGATGTCGCAGTGGGGTCCTGCCGTGTTGTGCATGCAGCTGAGGCATTCTCCAGTCAGAGGGTGACAGTCGGTGAACAGCATGTTGGGGTCTGTGTTGCCGTTGCAGTGGCAAGGCTGGCACCTGCTGCCCAGAACCATGGGGTTGCCATAGAAACCAGGGGCGCACCTGAGTAACAGGGCACAAAGTTACAAACGAGAAAGAACCCAGAATGTGTGTTTTCCTGCTGATTTAAGGAGAAGTTATGATTACCTCTCACAGTTTGGTCCAGCATAGCCGTGCATGCACAGACACTGCATCCTGTCACTCCTCTGCACGCAGCCCTCTGCAAAGCTGCACACAGGTAGAGCAGGATGAGTTCCTGGAAAACTCAGTAAGAGTGAAAAAACAGCAGCTCAGAGTGTAAAAGGAAGGCTGACTTGTTGGATGGAGCCCTGAGCGGACAGGGACAACTGGAGCAGGACACGGCCTGTCCGTCCAGGCTGTTGTTGCTGAGGAACCCTCCCCTGCAGCTCTCACAGTGGTCTCCAATTGTATTGTGCTGACAACTCTGGAAAGCATGGAGAGTGGAGTTTAGAGTCTAAAAAAGTCAAGAAGCTTTGAGAAAGGTCAGTGAAACTCACCAGACAGATTCCAGATCCATCCAAACACTGGTCCGAGTGTCCGTTACAGTTACAGGGAACACATTTTCCCAGGAAGAGTCCAATGGTGTCTCTGTAGTAACCTGGAGCACATTTCTACAGGCAGAAAGGAACATCAAGCATCTAGGAAACATTTAAGCTTAAGTTTGCAGAGTTGAATCCAAGAAAAAAAGAGACTTCTTGGACAATCTATGTTGGACAGAAATTGTTTCCTGACATCCAGTCCAGTTCCTCACCTGACAAGAGTCTCCCCGGTAATTGGCCGGACACATGCAGATTTCCACATTGTTAGCATGGCGGCCTGAGGTCAGGTCCGCCGCTCCCTCCAACACGGCACCGTGGAGCGACACGGAGTGGGCCGACTGAGAGTGAAGGGCTCGGATTTGGAGAGACTCCAGGTTGACCAAAACCATCATCAACTCCTCCCGAGAGACAGGGTTGCCAGTCCGATAATGACGGAAGCTTCCCTGTAATGACAGGAAAAACAGAAGAAGAAGATGAAGAAGGGGTTTAGAGTCATATCGATGCAGTTTCCCAACATATGGAGGAACTGTGGGGATATTAGATCCTAGAAACAGAAGCATAGGGGTTTAAAAATATTAGCTTTACTGAGCATCAGGGCTGCATTGGTCCAGTAGATTATAACATACTGACTGACAGACAAAACTAGAGCGTTTTGTGGTAAATGGCCTGCATCTGTATGGCTCTTTAAGTTCAAAGCACTTCACATTGCATTCAATCATTGACCCATTCACATGTAAATTAGTTCAAATCTTTTAATCTTCCTTCAGTTATCAAGTAAATATGGGCAAATGAGGATCGCATGTGGGTTCCTCATTCTGGGACAATTTTTATTCAAAATCTAAACGACTCAACATGGATTCAGAGCAAAGGTTTAACAACCACATAAAGTTTAATGCATCTTAAAAACAATGTTTTTGTCTATTTATTAGATTTATTTTACTTGGTGGCCTTACCTCAACTATGTGAACAATTCCCAGGTGAGGGTCTTCAGGCGCCGAGTATTCTCTCTCCATAAACACCAGGGTCATCTGGTTCCCCTACAGGCCACAGGAACAAACACAGGCATTAATTAATGTGCCGTTTGGATGCTGCGGTCCAACCCGGTTGGGTGTTTCGCACCTTGAGAATAATGTCGGGTCGAGAGGCTTCAGCTGGCAGAGGCAGAGCGTCTCCTCTCATGGTCTGGGTGTGAAGTCGGTACCGCAGGGAACCGCCGTAAGACGAAACCTGGAGGAACGAGAAGTAAAAATCTAAAATAAAACCAGTTAGTTCAACTGATCTAAATGGACAGTCTACTGGTACCTTGTCTCCCAAGTACGTCTTGGGTGCGTGCCAGTGGAGGTCCTGGTAGACATCGGGCACATCACTGAGGTCGGCCTCTGTGAGATCCTGATCAGGATACACCGTCACGGGTACTTCCTGTCTGTCTGCCCCGAGGAGCACCCAGCCCTCCATGTCCATGATCTGCAGAAATAACCCAGGAGAAAACTTAACAACACCTACACACCTGAAAGAAATCAAAGTCTACCAGGACTCAGAGAAAAGATGCATCTAAAGGTTGCAGGATGGAAACTCTCCCAGACTGGAAACACCTGATCTATTCATACTTTCCACAAGTCTGGACCGGCAGCGATCAGCGCCATCTTGGTAGGAAAGCCCAGTCAAAGCATGGCTTCAAGACCAACAAAAAGAACATATGTGGAAAGATATAGGAACACAATGGATCGACCCGTATGAGACGGAGAAGGAAAATATTTCAGACAATGTGGACAAGCTGCCTCTGACCTCACTACCTGGTGAACAGGAAGAAAGAGTTCAACATGGAGGAGCTTCACGGCCTGTCATCCATGAACGGACACAATCAATGTTTGGGCGATTTGTAAAGGACGTACAAACTCTGTGCGAATAACAAGGTTCTGGTGACTGGTAGAGTAAATACATGTAGTAACAAATACGTAGGCTACATGTCCGCCTTAGCTAGCAGATAAAAGCTACATTCACTGATATTTATCTTAGTATTACACAGAGGAGAGTAGAGTACTCAGAAATTACCAAGTAATAGTTGTAATAAACTTATATGGTTTATAAGTTAGGAACGAGGCGAGAGATAGTTCTAAGCTTGCATTTGTTGTTATCAGAGAAGCTGCCTACCAAGATGGCCGCCATTTACAACGTTTACGGATGTGTGAGAAAGATGAATCAGTTCTATCCGGATGTGACTGACGTAAGGCAATCCTGGCTTAGTTCCTCTAAAATGGGAATGTTGATGCCAAACAGGATAGCCAATAATCAATAAACTAAACTGAATAATCAATAATCTCATCTGACAGAAGGCTGCAGGTCTGAGGGGAACGCTGGAACAGCGCGAGTGAAACCAGCGTCTTCATGTTTCAACACATCCATGTTCATAAATCCTTAATGCCACATCTAATTACAGAAGATGACAGAAAGAAGAAACGGATCCCGCTTCTCATCTCCTGTTAGCTACATGACAGTCAGTTGGCAGAAACGCCTCGATTCAGCTGATCCCGGATCAGGACGTAAATCTGTTCCACCTCTATCCGTCTTTTGTCCGAGCTTTGGCAGCGGTCGGTGGCCCCGAAGCAGAAGCAGCTGGTGCATCCTTTCGGGTTGGTAGGGTCCAGGTGGAAGGTACCGATCCTGCACTGGTCGCATCGGGAGCCCTGCACGTTCTCCTACACACACACACACACACACACACACACACACACACACACTTTGAGCTGCTCGAACTGGTGGCGGTGCCTGAAAAGAGGTGAGAGTTTTGGGCGTTTCTCCAACCTTGCAGAGACATTGTCCTGTGAAGGAGTTGCACACTTCCTCCTCGGTTCCCGCCTCGTTGCAGTTGCATTGCCTGCAGTTGGGGTAACCATAGAAACCGGGCGCACAGCGGTCACACTGCCGGCCAACGATGTTGTTCCTGCATCTGGAAGCACAGATTTTTTTATTTAAAGGTAATCCTTCAGCCGTCAAACTCTTTGGATGCTGGTGAGTCTGTCTGGTTTCCTTAATTCTCTAGAAAAGTTTTAAATTTTCAGCTACTTTTTGATTTTACTTGAGTAAAAATATGTTGAAGTAGTGCTATTCTTACTTGAGTATAAATTTTGGGTATAGTGCGTCTGATTGTAGGTAGGAGTAAATTCTAAAAATTTCAGAAATTTTGAGATTAATCAGAAATATTTTAGGAAAAAAATCTACAAAAAAAAAAAAAAAAAAAAAAAAAAAAAAAATTTTTTAAAATTTTTTTTTTTAAATTTTTTTGGGTTTTTTTTAAAATTTTTTTTTTTTTAAA